TCCCTTTCTCTGAGACTGGTGGAAAGAAGGACAATTAGAAGTAATTTCCTCATAACTTACTATCTTTAATTAAGGAGTTGAAAAGCACTTTATAAAATATACATTACAAAGTCGAATATTAGACTCTTATCAGCCCTGAACACTAATTTAAATCGTCTTTAGAAACCTTTGGGTGATAAACTACTGATTAAATATTTATTTTTCACATGCCATAAGGCTTTGGACTTCTGCCAAATCTATGAAAAGATGCAAAATTATTTCAAAATGTTAACATTCTAAGGTAAAAAAACTTTAAACATGAATCTAGCCTTCACATTTTCTAACTTTGGTTATCTTCAACCAACTGGTCACTATGATCTCTTTTAACAAAATAAGGTGTGTGCACTCAGTGGACCTATTTTACCAGACTTCACAAACATCCTGTTTGGATCCCTGCTGCTGCCATTGCAATTTTCTTTTTCTCACAGAATGTAGTCCCTGCCAAGTTTAAACAAACTCCAGCATAGTAGGCAAATACTCACTGAGAACCTACTATGTAAAGGTGCTCTGAGTCCTGATTTAGGGTTGTTGGGAAAGTTAGGAAAAGAGGTCAAAGACCAGGGTAGAGGAGTGAGCCAGGGCAGCCTGGAGAGCCAGGATTGCAATGAGTTGCCCAGACTCACAGCAAACATTTAAAACCTAGACTCTCATGTCCCTGAAATAGGAGGCCTTACAACACAGTATATACAAAATATTTTTATTATCTGTGGAACACTAGATACAACACTGAGAAAACATCCCCTATCCATAGGAAGGGTGATTGAAAGAAAGACATCTTTCTATCTGTCCTGGCAATGTTTTTATTATGGCAAAGATAAAGCAAAAGCATTGTCTGACAATTTTTTTTCCTGTGGTGTCAGAATTTATATCTGTATCACATAAACAAATAACTTAAAATCATCTACTTAAATGCTTCATCAATTTAAAAATCAGACCAAAAATACGTATTTGCCTGAAGACAATTGGCTGGACTAGATGCAATTTTGAAGTCCACTTGAGCTCCAAGAGTTCTATTTCTATAATAAAACCACTCAAACACATAAAAAATATCATAAATGTATTGCCCCTTTTCAAAAAGTCCGTTTTTCTCCTGAACACACTTAAAGGAAAATATGCTGCTCTTTTTTGTTTGGGCAATCTGTGGAGGATTACCACGGTTTCTGTGGCCTCCTGGCCGCTTTCTGTACATTAGCTTGTCCATGATATCATCAGAAGTCAATACTGTGAGCTCTCTGTATGTATGACCCTCAGCATGCATTCCCCACAGAAGCAGTGAAAATTGTTTTCAAGGGTGACATAATCTTAGATATTGCATTTGTTTGTGGAAGGCCAAAGAACCATAGCACATAAACAGATATAAGGTATGTCCGTGATATTAATGAGGGAAGATTAGGAAAATAAACCTTAAAATTCTTTGTGTAAGATGGGCAATAACACAAAAAGGTTGAGAAACACTGTCTTAGGGCAAGAATTCCTTGAGGATTTAAGATCTGATGGACAGGACTCCGATGCATCAAATACAATACGTTTTTAAATTTTTTTTTTTTTTGAGACAGAGTCTTACTCTGTGGCCAGATGCCAGGCTGGAGTGCAGTGGCGCGATCTCGGCTCACTGCAACCTTTGCCTCCCAGGTTCAAGCAATTCTCCTGCCTCAGCCTCCCAAGTAGCTGGGACCACAGGTGTTTGCCACCATGCCCAGCTAATTTTTGTATTTTTTTAGTAGAGACAGGGTTTCACCATGTTGGCCAGAATGGTCTCAATCTCTTGACCTCATGATCCACCTGCTTCAGCCTCCCAAAGTAAGTTTTAAAGTATTTAAAGTGTAACATCTCCTCCTTTCCTTTTAATCTACCACAGGACACTTTTTGCATTATTTTAAATTTAGACATTTTAAAGTTCAATATAGTACAGTATATAAAACTCAATTTATATGAAGACTGCTCTTGTGAAGAAAAGCATATTTGAAAAATGACTCTCTCTTTTGAGGTAAGACTTATAATGCAAACATTGCCAGGACAGGATTTCTGTCTTTTGCTCTCCCTTCCTATGGTCAGGGGAAAATATTTTGTATATACTGTGTTGTAAAGCCTCCTGAAACAGGGACAAGAGAGTTTCGTTTTTAAATGTTTACTGAGTCTGGGCAATTCATAGAAGATGTTATTTGATGGCAATATGGCAGCAAGAATTAGCAGAAGGCAGTGGAAGGAAAGCCACTGGGCACCAGAAAGACACACATGTCCATCCCAGACTTGCTTTAGAATATCCTCGCCAAGGGGGCAAGTTGCTTAATGCCCTTCAGCCCCAGTTTTCTAATCTGTCAAACAAGGATATAAATGCCTACCTTGTAAGATGGTTAAAAGTTTTGAGATAACGGATGTCAGGTGACTGTAGCTTGCTGTTTCTGAGTTAGGTGATAAGAATGAAGTAAACAGCAATTGGGTAGAAGAGAACAAGGCACTCGGTGGACCTATTTTGCCAGACTTCACAAACATCCTGTTCGGATCCCTGCTGCTGCCATTGCAATTTTCTTTTTCTCACAGAACGTAGTCCCTGCCAAGTTTAAACAAACTCCAAAGGATTATTGGTAGCTTGCAAAGTAAGATTTGAGCTTTTCATCAATGAAGAGTCTTGAGATACAGGCAGAGATACAAGCAAGAAGCATTTCTCCTGCTCCATGAAAATATGATGTATACCTTTAATGAAAAAGTCAGGGGCTTGTGCAGGCACAACAGCTGTGATTTTATGAAGGGAAAATAATCCAGAATTCCATGTGGTGGGGCTGCTGCCACAAGGGGTCAGATCTGGATTATTGATGGAGGCTGGCATCATCCCACAGTGACACAAGCATAATTGGATATCACATAACTTGAAATAACTGGCAATTGTTTTAGGTGAGAAAAGCTCAAGCAAGAGCAAACCAGACCAACTTTAGTAAAGGCTTCATCGTCTTTGATCTGAGGCTGACTTATTGAATGCCTGGAGCCGGAACAGAAGAAGGAATATGGTTATCTTTGAAGCTCACGCTGGTTGCTGGTTGCCCACTCAACAGATGTGAGCAGTTTAGCTGTCACCATAAATCAAGGGCTCCCCGACGATGTTATAAATAGGGATGGGTGAATATTTTGGATTCATTAGCCTCCAAGTATTCTTCAGATGTTTTGGGTTCAACTAAACAGAGTACATCATGCAGAACACATACCCTTCATGATTTTTAGGACCTTTTGTGATTTATGGAAAATAGAATCCATATGTTTCTGCTTCATTTACACTTAAATCATCAAAAGGTTGTGTGTTGTAAGAGCTATCTGACGTCCAAGATGCCTCTGCGCATGCTTTAAAAAAATACAAGCAGCTTAAAAGTTTTGGTCCTTCGAAAAGACCAGAGAGAGAAAGAGAGACAGGGAGAAGGGGGCGGGGGGCAGAGAGAGAAGGGGGAGAGAGAGAGAGAGAGAGAGAGAGAGAGAGGGAGAGCGCGCCTAGGAACGCCTGTTTTGCTAAGATGAAATACATTTGAACACTAGGAAGTTCAATTTAGGCTGAAACTACAAACCCATGAATTAAAAATGAGTCCAGAATTTGGAAAGAAACGAAGTCTCCACTCCAGCCAGTTTTAGAAGCAGCTTCGATGAATGCAGAAAAGCAGCTGGCACCTCAGCCACCACACCAGGGAAGAGAGGGCCGAGAGTGCACCATTAGCTGCAGCTAAGAGTGCTTGCAAGCCTGAGTTATTCTTGGGCCTCCTAAGAGTTGCTCCAGCCGGAATAGAGACTATCCTGCTTTAGCTCAGAAATATCCACTCTCGTGATGTTTTCCTGTGGTTGTTCTGCTGTAGGCCAGCACTTCCTGTCTCTTCTTCCACCATCTAGCCCAAATAGCCAACCACTGGACTGAATACTGGGTGTGTATTTGGGATGTTTATTGGGCCCTTTCTTTAAAGAATGATCACATTAAGCTCACAATAGGGCAGATAAAACATGCAGTTTGTGTAAAGTGAAAAGTGTGATAACTAAGGGCTACAGTTAGTAAAAGGCAACATGTAAAACAAAGTTTTCTTGCCCCCATCTCAATATTTACTTGCTGATATTACATCAGCTCTATGTTATTGTACGCATGTATTATTATTTTTATATCTTACCTTATAATTTTGGAAGCATCTAAATTAGAAATATTTTATATTATCTCATAAATTAGATATCTAGAAAAGTTCAATTCAACAGGTAGGATCTAGATTAGACGTCTAGAATAGTTAGATTAGATATCCAGAATAGTTAGAATAGTTAGGATGTGAAACTTTACCGTCTCTTGGGATCTCTTGCTTGTGTGGCCTGAAGAGTCACTTCAGCAGAATTAAGAGTCCTGTGAATTACCTCCATATCCCAATTACATTATATGGGACAAGCGGGAGGGCTTTGCAATGTTAGAGGTGAAGTTTGTTGTTGTTGTTGTTGTTGTTGCTAACCCCTAAGAAACATTCAGTAAAATATTCCTTAATCTCACCACCCATACGTAACCACTGTTAATGTTGGGGCATATATTCTTTGAGTCAAATTGTGTGTTTGTGTGCACATGAGCACACACAAAGAATGTGATGAGATTATACTATCTATTCTATTTTGTAGCTTCTCTTTTTCATTTAGCAATATATTGTAAACTTTTTCCTAGGCCGATAAACTGTTGCCTCATAAGCTTTAATGCTTGCAGAGCATTTCACTGTGGAATTGTACTACAACAATCTTAATATCTCAGAGTATTTTTAAATATGAAGCTTGAAAAAATTATTTCAGATATATTTTTAAACACTGACATTAGTTTTTTAAAATGTTATATATGTCTTATGACATCTTAAAAAAATAGACTAAGCATACCTTCTACATCTCGTAGTTTCTTGCATTTCAGACCAAAGCATAGAACATCCATAATATATATATGACAGGGAGTTTATTAAGATATATTGACTCACATGTCACATGATCACAAGGTGAAGTTTCACAATAGGCCATCTGCAAGCTGAGGAGTAGGAAAGTCAAAGCCTCAAAAGTAGGGGAGCCAACAGTCCAGCCTTCAGTCTGTGGCCAAAGGCCTCAGAGCCCCTGGCAAACCACTGATGTAAGTTCAAGAGTCCAAAAGCTGAAGACATGGATTCCAATGTTCCACAGCAGGAAGGATCCGGCATGGGAGAAAGCTGAAGACCAGAAGACTCGGCAAGTCAAGTCCTTTCACCCTTTGCCTGCTTTATTCTGGCCACACTGGCAGCTGATTAGATGGTGTCCACCCAGAGTGAAGATGGGTCTGCCTTTCCCAATCCATTTCCTCAAATGTTAATTTCCTTTGGCAACACCCTCACAGACACACCCAGGATCAACACTCTGCATCTTTCAAGTCAATCAACTTGATACTCAATATTAACTGTCACAGAATTGTTTAGTCTCTAGAAAAGATCAATATGATAATCAGTAAATATTGTTCTCTTTACTTCCTTAAAAAATAAAAATAAAAAGCTGTTTCTACACCAAGAAGAGCCTTGTGATTTAAATTTATCTGTCCCTGTTGGTTGCTCAGTCCATCGGTAAAGTTCCTGGAGTCAATTTAGAAGAAAACTGACAACCATACCTGCTTTGCTCTCTGTTTCCCATCAGTTACTAGAGAACTCAGTCCTGTCCCTTTTGTTGACAGGTTGCCAGGATACATCCAGGCGACAAATGCTGTGGTTCCTGTTACTCAGCAGCCTCACAAACACACCAACTCCTGCAAGAAGGGATATGAATCTTGGAGCTCCTAGCTATTCTGTTCCTGTTTCCATCAGCCCCTTCCCTGAAAACTCAGAGGTACTCAGAATGCCACGCTAAAAGCCAAAATAAAAAGGTAAAGAACAAATGTCACAAGGTGAGGTTCTCACAGGGTGTGTGCATTCTATGTTGTCTGGTAGGTCTTAAATCTCAAACCTTTCAACTAATAACAACTGCCTCTGTTAGATATTCTTGGTCTCTTCCATTGGCCTTTCACCAGTATTTAGTAAATATTTCCTTGCTATAGAAAAGAATCCAAATGATAATAATAATTAGTTCTTAAGTGAAAAATATCAAATACTACTAAACAAAACAATAAATATCATTTACTTCTTTAGATGCTGGCAATGGTGAGTGAACGATGGATTAAATGTTCTGATACCTAAAAGATAATAAAATTGTATTTGAAAGAATGATATTTAAAATAATTTTTTTCAAAGAACAGTAGATAAGGTAGGGTTTTAACATAATTCAAAACTATATGTTTATTAGCCAGATTATCCATGAAAGAAAAGGGGTGTTAAAGGCTATAATTGCTCAATTGGCTTGGCTGGTATTCTTTAATTATTTGAGATAAAATCTATCTGGAGCAAATCTTGAACCAATCTTGAGTTCTTAAATTCAAGTTTCTAAAATCATTGAGTTTAACAGGTATACACAACCATGTCATGGTTACCTCAGTCAGGGCACAGGACATTTCTTTCACACCAGAATGTTTCCTCACATCCTTTCCAGCCAATCTTTCCTCCATAGATGGCCACTGTTTTGACTTCTGTCCCTAAATAATAGTTGGCCATTCATGAACTTTATATGAACAGAATGATACCTTATATATTATATTGTTGGACTGATATCTTTGGCTTAGCAGAATGTTTTTCAAACATTTCAATGTGGCTTTTTAAATCAGTAGTACAATTCTTTTCAAAGGTAAGTATAATTGAATTATATGCTTATTTTACATTTGTTTATCTATTGATTGGTATTTGGTTTGCTTCTAATTTGGGCCTCTTATAGCTAAAGCAGCTATAAGCATTCTTGCACAAATCACTTTTCTCCTAATTTTATTGTGTCTAATTTTTTTCCAGCTTTATTGAGGTATGATTGACAAAAATCGCATATGTTTGGGGTGTATCAAGAAATGTATTGATATATGTAGACATCGTGAAATAATTACCATAATCAAGCTAATTAAAATACTCATTAGATCACATAGTTATCTTTTTTGGGTGTGGTGAGAATGTTTGGGATCTACTATCTTAGCACATTTTAGTTATCATTAATTATAACAATTATTTATTATAGTAATAATGCTGTATGTTAGGTTTCCAGAATTTACTCATCTTATAGCTGAAGGTTTGTACACTTTGCCTGTCTTCCCTTCACCTAATCCCCCTCCCATGGTAACTACTATTGTACTCAACAGGTAGGTATATGAAGATGCTCACCATCACTAATCATCAGGGAAATGCAAATAAAAATCACAATGAGATATTTCCTTACATTTGTGAGAATGGCTGTTATCAAGAAGACAAAAGACAACAAGTGTTGGCAAGAATGTGGAGAAAAGGGAACCCTTATACACTGTCGGTGGGAATGTAATTTAATACAGCCATTATGGAAAACAGTATGGAAGTTCCTCAAAAATTTAAAAATAGAACTACCATCTGATCTAGCAATCCCACTGCTGGGTAGATATCCAAAGAAAATGAAATTAGTATATTAAAGATATATCTGCACTCCCTTGTTCATTGCAGCTTTATTCACAACAGTCAAGATATGCAAACAAATTACCAATCAACAGATAAATGGTTAGAGAACATGTGATATAACATACAATAGAATATTACTGAACGTTAAAAGAGAAGAAAATCCTGCTATTTTCAACAACATTATATGAAGTGACATAAGCCAGATAAGGAAAGATAAACACTATGTGATCTCACTTATATGTGGGGAAAGAAAAGAAGCCCATGCAAGTCTTATTAGATGTATGTTTTTATTTATTCTGGATTCAGACCCAGGAGTGAAATTAATGGGTGATAGGGTAGATACTTGTAATAAGTATGGAATAATATGTCACAATGGTCATAATTTGCATATTTCTGGTGACTAATGGAGTACTTTTACATGAGCTTCTAGGAGATTTGTATCTTTTAAAAAATGATCTATTCACACCTTTTACCTCTTTAAAATCGTTTTTTTTCTTTTCAATGCTTTCTTTATTGATATATAACTCACATACAATAAAATGTACCCATTTTAAGGACACAATTTGATGAGTTTTGACAAATAATTACATCTATGGAACCAACAAAGCTATAAGTATAGAAAATGTCCATTAACCTTTGTAGTCAATTTTCCATTCATGCACCTACCCACCAAGAAATCACTGATATACTTTCTGTCACTAGAGATTAGCTTTGCCTATTCTAGGGTTTTATTTAAATGGAATCATTCAGCACCTATACTTCCTTTGCATTTGAATTTTTCAGCAGCACAATTTTCAAAGGTATCCATGTAGTGTGTATTAGTACTTTGTTCATTTGTATTGTGAAACAATATTCTATTGTATGAATATGCCATAATTTTGTATCCATTTATCTGTTGATGTATATTTATGTTATTTCCAGTTTTTTACTACTATGAGTAAAGCTACTGTAAACATTTGTATATGACTTTGGTGAACATATGCTTTCATTTTTCTTAGGTAATTATCTAAAATGTCAATAGTTTTGGGTAGGTATATGTTTAACTTAATAAAGTTAAAATTTTAGACATTCCAATTTTTCAATAGATGTCTTACAAACATTTCTCCCCAATCTATATCTTGCCTTGTAATTTTCTTAATTTTTTTTAATTTGCAGAAGTTTATAACTAAAAGAAAGTGTGAATTGTCATATTTTGCTTTCATACTTAGTTCTTTTTGTTCTTTGGCATTTTGTCTAACACAAAATATTTTCAAATATTAGGATCATTAATATTTTTCTCTTCTTAAAGCCTTATCATTTTTGCTTTTATATTTAGTTCCATGATCCATCTTTAGTTAATTTTTGTGTGTAGTGAAAGTAGGGAGTTGCCGGGCGCGGTGGCTCACGCCTGTAATCCCAGCACTTTGGGAGGCCGAGGCAGGCGGATCACGAGGTCAAGAGATCGAGACTATCCTGGCCAACATGGTGAAACCTTGTCTCTATTAAAAATACAAAAATTAGCAGGGTGTGGTGGCATGCGCCTGTGGTCCCAGCTACTCAGGAGGCTGAGGCAGAAGAATCATTTGAATCCAGGAGGTGGAGGTTGCAGTGAGCTGAGGTTGAGCCACTGCACTCCAGCCTGGCAACAGAGCAAGACTCTGTCTCAAAAAAAAAAAAAAAAAAGTAAGGAGTTGATGGTTTATCCCTACATGCATCCAGTTGTCAGTTGTTCCACTCTCATTTGTTAAAAAGATTTTCTTCTCTCCATTGAATTGTCTTGGCATTTTCATCAAAAATGAATTGACCAATGACCATGTATGTAAATTGACCATATGTTTCTGGACTATCTATTCTGTTACATGAATCTGTTTGTCTATCCTTATTGGCATATTAATTTTAAGAGGGCAACTTACATTATTTGAATACTTGAAGCAAGTATTCAAAATAAATATGGAAGTTGAGTCCTTCTATGACTGCTTGCCAGTGAACCATACACAAGAATTAGAATCAGGTTGGGCAGTCCTTGCATGTTGCCCAAATGTTTCCTGAGGCAATAACCTGATTTTAAGTGATTCTGTAATAAGCAAAAGCCAAAAATACAGTTAAAGTTATAAACATTCAGAAATCATAATCCCAGTGAAAAAATATGTATTTTTCAAGTGCATTAATAATGTAACTTAAACTTAATTTTTATTTATTAATTTATTCAATAATTTAAGAGTGTCTACTATATAGACACTATTCTAGACAGAAAAAAAGGAGGAGGAGAATATTTATTTGTTCATAATTTCTGCAAGAAAACATTATTTATAACATCTACTCTATTGACTGTTTAACACTATATTTCTCACAATTACAGAGAAAAATCTATACCTGGTAAAATAAGTATCAGATTAAATGTCATCGCATATTCCTACAAATTGACAGAAAATTATAACATACAAATGTTAACTAAGAAAAAATATTTTCCAGCCTTTCCAAATCTTGCTGTCACTTCACCTATTTCTTCTGGGTCCAACATGTAAACTATTATTTCTATCAGCTACATTTTCCAGCTTATTTTATTTATTCATTCACTGATTCATTCATTTCTTTGAGAAAGGGTCTTGCTCTGTCACCCAGACTGGAGTGCAGCAGCACAATCACAGATCACTGCAGCCTTGACCTCCTGGGCTCAAGTGATCTGCCTACCCCAGTCCTCCAAGTAGCTAGGACTACAGCCATACACAACCATGTCTGGCTAATATTTTTTACATTTGTAGAGATGAGATCTTACTGTATTACCCAGGCTGATCTTGAACTCCTGAGCTTAAGCAGTCCTCCCACCCTGACTCCCAAAGTACTGAGATTACAGGCATGAGCCATAGCACCAAGCTCCAGCTTATTTTAGAATTTGAATCTTGTCTACTCTTTCAAAGAGAATTTTCTTTTTTTTAACCAACTAGACCTTCGTATGGTTGTTTCTTCTCTGGTTCTACATAATTCAGATAAATATGTAATACTATTTTAACTCAATTTTCCCAGACTATCTGGTGAATGATACATTTTCAGGATTATATGCGATTCTTGAAGTAAGTTGTAAATGGTGAAGAATGTGAACAATTCCAGAACACCCTTCCTGAGGGATCAGTGATGATTTCTGTGGAGTCTTACAAACATGGAGAAGCAATTTCTAAATATCATAGTAGACAAATATGGTAATAGGAATATACTATGTTGGGAGCAGCAGAGAAGGAGAATATAAAGAGGCAAGTTACTAACCAGTTAAAAGGAATGGCAAACTGCAAATAGAATGTCCAGAGTACAACACAGCCAAGCATTTGTTTGAAAGGAGACTCTAATCGAAGCCTTATGGAGTACTGTGCAGACAGCACTTAGTAGGATTCTG